CCTATCCTGCCTCCGAGGCCTCTGCCCAGCTCTGGTCCCAGCTCCGCACATCTCAGCCACTTGGAACTGACCTCCACTCGGAGCCGAATCTCCTGAAGGCGGGGGGGAAGCTGCAGGCTCGGGACATCCCCCCACACACTAGTAAATGCCCATGACCTCTGAGTTGCAGCTTGAGTAGGGTCCCTCAAAGCTCACATCCACCCAGAAGCTCAGAAAGACTTTATCTGGAAATCGGGTCTTTGCAGATGTAATCAGTTAAGGATCTCAAGATGAGATCAACCTGGAATTAGGGTGGTCCCTCAGTCCAGGGACTGGTGTCCTCTCCAAAGAGGAGAGACGCAGAGACATAAAGAGAAGAGGGAGATTGGGGATGAGGGGACACGTGCAGGTAGGGGTGCGATTGGAGGGCTGCGTCTCCCAGCCAAGGAATCCCGAGGATTTCTGGCAACACCAGAGGCTGAAGACAGGCCCGGAACAGACCCTCCCCACAGCCCCGGAGGGAGCCAGCCCTGCTGGCACCTTGGGCTCACACTGTGGCTTCCAGAGCAGAAAAGCAGCGCGTCCTCAGCCTTACCCGCCACCCTGCCCACTTTCGGAACTTTGCCACAGCTGCCCTAGAGACACAGTGGCTCTTGGTTGGGAGGTGGTGCTGGGGGTGGCTTTTGCAGCAAACAGGATGGGTGACCAGTTGCTGGCCCCTCCTCTCTCTGGGCCTGGGGTCTCCCTGCAAGGGGTTGGACCAGAGCCCGCTTTTCCAACTGTGGTCCCCATGCGTCCTACAGGGGTGGTGGGGGCTGTTTCCTCTTGTTGGAGTGCCTCAGTCCCTCTGCCCTACCACCATTTCCCATTACCATAACCCTCCCGGGGGGTGAGGGAGAAGGTGGTGGCCAAGCCCCTGTATCCCCAGGGTTCACCCGCTCGGCCCCCCTCCACCAGGCTCTCAGCATGGGCCTTGGGGAGACAGGAAGAACCCGCAGACCTAGTGCCCGCAGGACCATGGCTCGCCCCCGCCCTCTAGTGGCCACCTGGGGTAACCACCAGGCAGCCCAGTTGGCGAGTTTGGTGACTTTCAGGGAAGGGTGGGCCGCCCTGGGGGTGACAAAGGCCAGAGTGGACACCTCCTTGTTCAGACTTGGAGCCCTCTTGGCAAAGAGACTCTCTCCAGCCTTCGTGGCCCAGCCGTGCCTGCTAAGGATCCAGGGGCTGAGTCCAGGGAGGGGTTGGAGGGGTAGGAAGGCCACAGGGGGATGGTCATCTCCTTGGTCTCCAGCACCCAGGACATATGGGGCCATTCCTGGGAACTGGCAGTGCTGGAGCGATGCGCTGGACCCTGCTAACCAAACCAGGCCTGGCGGCCAGGGCTGGCTCTGCCCCACGCAGGGAAACCCTCGATGCTCACTGACTCCTGGCTGGGCCCTGGGCGGAACACTTACCAGCCAGGCCCTTCTCACTCCTAAGAGCGACAGGGACCTTGGAAACGTCCCAGAAGGGTGATGGTGTGGGCTCTCTCTCCACCTGACCCTTGCTGCACCTCCAGCCCATAAAGCAGCACCCAGCACGTAGCAGGTACTAAAAAACACATGCTGGACAGCCAGGTGCGTGTGCCAGTGCAGGTTCTTGGGAAACAAGGCCAAGTTTGGGTGGAAGATGGGCTTTGGGACCAGCAGCTGTTTTGGGGGAAGGGGAGGCAGCAAGGTTTGGCCAGCTGGGAGCGGGTCCTCCCCTTCACAGAAAATGTCTGGGTTTTTCCACCCCACTGGGTCAGCACTGGGAGAAGCGTGACCTCACAAGGCTGCTCTCTGCAGCTTAGGCTGACTTGGAGTGGATGACAGCCCAGCATCTGCTGACCGCTCCCCGAAGGTGGGCAACTGGTCATCCCTTGAAGGGGGCGCTCTCGAGTCCACATGGAAACCTAATCCTCCTGGAGAAGAGGAAACAGGGCTCAGAAAGGGAGGAACCCACCGAGGACGCCCCAGAATCCTCGGACAGCGCCTCGACACTGCTCCCAGTGGACAGATGGGGAGTGCAGGCCGAGAGGGAGCCCCGTCCCAGGCCCTCTGTAGCCTCCTGCATTCCCGGGGTGGGTGGAGTGGGGAGACAAATATCACCGACTGCCTCTGCTCTGAGGAGGAGCTGCCACCAAAAGGAGACCACATACTTCCATCCAGGTTCCTTGGAAATACTTTGCCACCAGGTCACTAAGGGCGTCCAGCCTGCAGGGCTCTGCCCTGGCGATGGGGTCAGCCAGGAGAGGGGCCGGCAGTTCACAGTGTGCTGAGTGGCCCAGAGGAGGCGCAACCAGGGCAGTCTTCCTGAAGGAGGCGGTCCTGAGTTCTGGGGAACGGGCTGAGTTTGCACAGGCAGCCAGGCCAGGAACCAGGAAGTCCGTGGGGAGACTCGGTGGTTGGAGGACATCAGGCACACAAGGCTTTTAGATCCAGACACTTTATTAGCGACATAGTGAAAGGAAGAGGGCTTCCCAGGCCCTGGTCCCACACACCAGGGACGACACTGGGACAAAAGGGGCCAGTGACACTGTCAAGAGCTGGGACACCTCTCTGTCAAGGAGCCCCCAGAGCCTCAGTAGGCAGAGCTACATCCAGCCCCTAAGACAGTCTCTCTGAGACCATGAGTGACATCTCCAGTTCCCTCACAGGCCTTCATTTTCTCTTTGAGATCCCCTTGTGGATTCCATGGGGCCCCACTCTTAGAACTTTATGGTAGGTACCCTTTTCCCTCTGTTTTCTCCAAGGGCAGGGGAGGGGGAGGCAGCATCATTGTCTCAGCCACCACCCACGTGTTCACAGCTGCTCGGTCTTTGACCCCAGCCTCTCTCCTGGACTTCAGCCCTGTGCATTCAGCTGCCCCCCGGCCATGTCCACTTGGAGGTCCCCCTACACAGCCAGGTCAGTTTTCACAGAGCTGAGCTTGACACACTTCCCACTCCCCCTCCTCCTCCGTTGGGTGGTGGCATCACCATGGCGACGGTGGTGGTGTCACCTATGCTGGAAGCTTCCCTGTCATTCTCAATTCTGTTCTTATTTACAGCCGCCCTCCATCAAAGTTTCAGCTCACCCGCTGGTGCCACTGTCTTCACTGCCTCAGTTCAGCCCCACGTCACTCCTTTGCCAGCACTCAGCATCTTCCCAAGTTTCTATTTCCCAGGACTGTATCCAAGTCTCCAACCTTAATCATTACTATATTTTCAGTGACCAGCAGACGGTCTGGCTCATGGAGGCAAGTAGGAAATGCTAGACTGGACAAAAGGAATTTGGAATGGTTGGAATGATTGTAGGGGAGAATGAGGTGTGGATAAAATGGCAAGAGATGCTGGGACCACCTCCGCATTTAGACCACCAGCCTCCAAGGACAGGGAATTGTGTTGCATTCATCTCTGCCCAGTAAAGTTTCTTGGATGAATGAGATGAGTGAGTGTAGGTCAGTCACCTGGTCTAGGTTTGTCCCAACTGCAGACTTCACACTTGTTGCCTCCCTGGAAACGAGTGCACTGAGTTCCACGGGGCAGCTCCCTCCGCTGTGGGAGCTCGCAAGTCCGTGTGAGTGCACCTCTGCAGGTCTGCAGCCTGAGTGAAGGAACTGCAGAGTCCTGGGCCCCACCCTGGAGTCCCTGATAGGGGAGGATGGGGTGCAGTGGGAGAACCCGCATTTCTTTCTTTGTTTTTATTGAAGTATAGTCAATTACAACGTGTCAGTTTCTGGCATATAGCATAATGTCCCAGTCATACATATATATACATATATTCATTTTCATATTCTTTTTCACTAAAGGTTATTACAAGATGTTAAATATAATGCTCTGTGCTATACAGAAAAAAATCTGGTTTTAATCTATTTTTATATATAGTAGTTAATATTTGCAAATCTCGAACTCCCAAATTTATCTCTTCCCACCCCCTTTCCCCTAATAACCATAAGATTGTTTACTATCTCTGTGCATCTGTTTCTGTTTTGTAGATGAGTTCATTAACGACTTTTTTTTCTTAGATTCCACATATGAATGACAGCATATGGTATTATTCTTTCTCTTTCTGGTTTACTTCACTTAGAATGACAAACTCCAGGTCCAATCATCTTGCTGCAAATGGCATTATTTTATCCTTTTTATGGCTAAGTAGTATTCTATTGTATCGATACACAACTTTTTTCTCTAGACATCTGTTGAGGGACATTTAGGTTGTTTCCTTGTCTTGGCTATTGTAAATATTGCAGCTACGAACATTGGGGTGCATGTATCTTTCCGAATTAGAGTTTCCTCTGGATATATGCCCAGGAGTAGGATTGCTGGATCATATGTGTAAGTCTATTTTTAGTTTTTTGAGGAACGTCCATACTGTTTTCCATAATGGCTGCACCAAACTACATTCCCATTAGCAGTGTCGGAGGATTCCCTTTTCTCCCTTTTCCACAGTCTCTCCAGCATTTATCGTTCGTGGACCAAATCTGCATTTCTAACAAGCTTCCAGGTGCTGTTGCTGCTGCTGCTTGAACGGGGACCACTCAGAGACTCTGCTCTAGGGCAGTGCAGCCCAAAAGAAACACAACAGCAGCCACACATACAATCTAAAATCTTCTGGTAGCCATATCTTTAAAAAGTGAAAGGAAGCCGGTGAAATTAATTTCAATATATTTTATTTAATCCAACACATCCAAACTATTATTTCAATATGAAGTCAATATATAAACATTATTGAGGTATTTTTCATGTCTTTTTCCTACCAACTCTCGAAGTTCTAGTGTATGTTTTTTACTGAAAGCCCGTCTCAAAACGGACTCACTGCTCCCGCGTGGCTAACGCCGTGCCCGAAAAGCGCAGCCAGGT